CAGGGGCGAGGGGCCAGGTGCCCGGGGCTGCAGGAGGCGCCGGCCCGGCTCCGAGGCCCCGCCGGCCTCCCCTCGGGACTCACCATCCACACCGTTGTGCTGTTCATAGCTCCTCTTGCCCAGGATGGTGGGCGAGCCGTTGTTGATGACGGGGGCCGCCTTGGCAGGGGTCAGGCTGCTGAGCACACCAGACACGCTCTTCACGGGGTCGGGCTTGGGGGGGCGGGGGTGGGTCTCTGTCGGAGCAACACGGGGAAGCGCTTTAAGGGTGAGGGACAGCCAGGTGGCCCAGGCCCCATCCCAATGCAGGACGACCTCTGCCATGCCCACCGGGGAGAACACTACCCACCCACACCCAGCATCCAGGCCAGTCCTGCACTGCGGGCCCAGCCAACTGGCTGGATCCCTGGGCGACTGCCAGCAGCTTACAGGCTCCAGACGAAGGCACATAAACCAGCAGGCCCATTAGAGGCCTCATGTCCAGGCCACCGGAGCTGATGGCAGAGGGCTGGCCGCTGGCCAGGTGATGAATTAACAGCCCCGAGGACCGGGCCGGGACATGCCCTGCCGACGCTGGCCCACAGTGTGGTGCAGGCTCGCATCTGCTGGGGCCCCCCAGCCGCTGGTGACTCAGGAGCCACGAGCCACCTCCCCCCACAGGACCAGGCGAGGCCGGCCCCAGGACAAGACCCCAGATAGTGAACACGGCCGAAGCCACTTGTCTGAGTGGGCACTTAGCTCACCGCTCTGGAATGTCCTTCACGGGAGGAAAGTCACCTCCACGCTGGAGGGACTGACTCATGAGCCCGCCTGAGCCCAGCCAAGCGGTGAGCCCTGCCCTGTCCCTCCTGAGGCCCCCTGGCCCGGCCACCTGTGGTGGGCAAAGCTGGACGAAGGCGCCAGCTGAGGTGCTCACGGTCCACAGGCCGCAAAGGCCCCCTCCACGTGCGGCTGCCACCAGACGCCATCCTGGCTCAGAGGCATCACAGCAGCGACTGCACCCAACCCAAACCGCGGCCCCCGACACTGCAAGGGCACCAGGGGAGCTGGGCATGGGAGACAGGTTTAGAAGCCCGCTCGGGGTGCCCTGGGCAGAGACCTTGGGGTGGACGGGTCACGGGCTGCAGGGAGGCAAAGGTCAACGGTGGCAGGACGGAGGTGACTCCCGTGCGGAGGCCACCACGCCACGGGGGTGGCGCAGGCTTACCAAGATACCGGAGCACAGCCTCCAGGGGCTTCCGCACGGCCTGCTTCAGCACCAGCGGGCTCTGCGAGGCTTCGGGCAGCCGGGCGGTGCCTGTGGGGCCGCACAGTGTGGGTGCCCGCGGGAGGGGTACGGGGCCTGAACTCCCTGGGCCCCCACCTTCCCTCCCGCAGGACAGGACCGGGACGGAGCCCCGGGTGGGGAGGACACTCACACTCAGCCTTGATGGCCGCGCTGTTGATGGGCAGGTAGGGGTGCCTGGCGGCGTGCCACGGGCGCAGGATCTCTCGGCACAGGCGCCGGGCGATCCGCGTGAGCTTGGTGGTGTGCAGGTAGAAGGCCTGCCTCGTCTTCATGGCGAACTTGGGGCTCCCGCTGCTCCGGGCTGGGATGCCATGGGGGCTCTGCGGAAGGGGGCGCGCCGCCCCGAC